TGTAGTAAAACCCTTTCCCTTGATGCTGAGTGAAACTTGCTCCTAACACTAGGAGAGAGTCCACCTCCTGTCAGCGGATTTCCTCTTAAGAGTGGTTCTGGAAGAGGAGCCACGGTGGTGGTTATGGAGGAGGTGGAGAAAGAAATTTGATGGTGTAGCCAAAGTGCATGAAATCTAGTATCCACTTGTCCATTGTGATAGCCCTCCATTTGTAGGCAAAGTAAACTAGGCAGTAATCAAAGGGGAATTCAGAAACAGGTGCAGATGGCATCATTGTTAGATCGCAACTCTTGAGAGTCCCGGTCACGCAAATCTCCCCACCAGTTTTCAGTAATATCAACTAGGTCAAATTTATGCTCATAAAAAGCAATTCCTGTTATTCTTGTTTATTGCCAAGGCAACTAGCATCGGTGCATAGGCAATTACAGTTACTTGATTAATCTATAAATACCTACATAGCAAGAAAATATCTGACATAAGGAGGCCCTTTAATCTAGCAGCAATAACAAAATCCAATGGATAGAAGCTGAAATTAGAAAAATTCAAATTGGAAATAACTTCTTAAGTGAAAGCAGCATGCATCCAACGAAGTGGGTATTCACCCATGAAAGCTCATGCTCCAATACGTCTGTTAGTCTATAAGGTGCCACGGGACTCTTTGCTGCTTTTACAGATCCAGACTAACATGGCTACCCCTCTGATACTTCTTAAGTGAGTTAATCAAAAGAAGGTTTACCAAGGTCAGTGATAAATTCATCATCAGTTGGAGACTTTGCATCAAGATTATATGTCTTTCTAAAATATAACTCTGGTTAAAGCACAAGTTATTGGGCTCAATAGTTATTCACTTATATGATAGGGATGAATAATTCTCTCCATTGCAGGAATTACGGAGTAAAATTCTATGGCTTGTGCTATGCAGGAGTTCAGACTAGATGGATATATTGATCCTTTTTGGCCTTAAAATCTATTATTAGTATTTCTTCTCAGATTCTCATTCTGGCACTGCACTTTACTATAATATATACATTTTAACATAGGACTAATAGAAAGTCATATTTCATTAAGCTTGTTTAGACAATATTTAAAATGTGGCTGACGAAAAGGTCTTTCTTTTTTCTCTAAAATGGGAAGATAATCCTAATATATGTCAATATTATGTCAACAAAAATATACAAAAAAATATAGAGTCAATTTATTTACCAGCATACATTACCGGAGTTTAGAAAAATATTACAGATCATTAATAGACTATTCTCGGATGACTGTAGATAGTCCAATTTAAAGTAACTGTGAAATGTAATTGTCAGGAGGATAATGCCTTTGTAGGAGTGCAAAGAGGCATCTTTCCTTTGGAAAATATTGTGAAATGACAAATGTTGTTTGGTACAATCTGCAAGATTTGAAAGGTGAAAAGCTACATCGCATAATTCTTTGTGATTCAATAATAAGTTATCCTTCATAGGACGAGTTTAGCAGTATTCAGTGAGGGGAAAGAACTTCACCAGAGGGAGGGAAATCCTCCCTGTTTCACTCTAAACACTTATCTATCAAGTACTGGAATTTCTCCCTCAATGCTTGTATAATCTCTTAATATTAATAGGGTCTGACTGTGCCCAGTAAGGTGAAGAGGTGTGCAAAAATATCAGATGATAGTTTAATTCTAAAAAGGATTTTTTGCACTATTTAAAAGTATTTCTTTAAACTCAGCAACAAAGCAAAGGTTTCCCATTCACAGTTCAGCTCTATCAAGGTTAGCAATGCTAGGTGTCTAGTGTAGACATGTCATTGGCTGGTGTTACTGTAATCGCCATAATAATTGGATTTACTTGAAGCAGCTCTAACTGACAATGTTAAAATGGTGGTAGCCAGCAGTTAGTCTCCACTAGCATTCTGCTCCACATGGTAGTAACAGCTGGACATTATTGAAAAATGTCCCTGGGATAAACAGGGCTTAAGGGTAGGAATATCACTTCATTTCTTTAAAGCTGACAGCATGTTGCACACACTGTTCCATTCAATCATAAAGATGACCAAAGTATTGAATTCTCCGTACTTTATGTGCTATGCACAATTTGTTCACAGATTAATAAAATTACAAATGAATTCCGCTACTTTTCTAAAATGTGAACACTAACATTTCTTCAGTATAGTACATCTCGTCAATGTCAATTACAAGCAATCCAAATGCTTGGAAAAATATCTTTTATAGAAGGCATCTTTGTTATAACATAGTTAACAGGGCCGGCTCCAGGTTTTCTGCCGCCCCAAGGGGCAAAAAAAAAAAAATAGCGCCACGGCAGCGCGATCGCGCCACTCCACTCTTCGGCGGCAATTCGGCGGCAGGTCCTTCGCTCCTAGAAGGACTGAGGGACCCGCCGCCGAATTGCCACCGAAGACCTGGACCTGCCGCCCAATAGCGGCCAGAGTGCCGCCCCTTGGTATTGGCCGCCCCAAGCACCTGCTTCTTTAGCTGGTGCCTGGAGCCGGCCCTGATAGTTAACATTCTACATTTTAAAATAAGTTAATTTTCTACTGTATAGATGTAAGCAGAGTCTGGATGAGCTCTCCCCTGACATCTAGTGGTGAGCTGTGGAAGAAGACTTCAAAGCTGATCTCATTTGCAGGGACACCCCCACCCTGCCTAGGTGCTCAGCATGATGGGACTGCTTGCCCAAATGATCACTTGTGCCTGGTGTTGGATCCCCAGTATCCTTGTTATTAGGGCAGGAGTAATAAAGGGTTGTTATCCTTGTTGTGTGAACTGAAGGCAGCAGAATTGTACCTGGCATACCCCAATTGAGGGACTCACCCTCAACTGAACAGAACTTGCTAGGCAAGGGACATGGGTTCCAAAGCCCAATGAGTTGAGAGAGGGTAGAGATAGGTATTTGTACCTGCTGGTGTGGGTCTTGTTTAAGGGTCCTAGACACCATTAGACCCTTCTTCTCTCCATGGCATAATAAAAGAGTTAATTTAGACTCAATTGAAAGTCTTGTTACATGCTGCAGAGCTGAAATCACTGATACCTAGAGCTAAGTATTAGACCTACTTTGGGACAGTGTCTCTATTGCAAGAGACTGCCCAGTGTGCACTAACAGTGAGGCTCCCCCACTAACAGCTGATATCACTGAGAGCTGAAATCACTGAGAACATAAGAACATAAAAATAGCTCTACTGGGTCAGACCAAAGGTCCATCTAGCTCAGTATCTTGTCTTCTGACAGTGGCCAGTGCCAGGTACTCCAGATGGAATGAACAGAACAGGTAATCATCAAGTGATTCACTCCCTGTCGCTCATTCCCACCTTCTGGCAAACAGAGGCTAGGGATACCATTCCTGCCCATCTTGGCTAATAACCATTTATGGACCTATCCTCCATGAATTTATCTAGTTCTTTTTTGAACCCTGTTATGGTCTTGGCCTTCACAACATCCTCTGGCAAGGAGTTCCACAGGTTGACTGTGCATTGTGTGAAGAAATACTTCCTTTTATTTGTTTTAAACCTGCTGCCTATTAATTTCATTTGGTGACCCCTAGTTCTTGTTTTATGAGAAGTAGTAAACAACACTTCCTTATCTACTTTCTCGACATCAGTCATGATTTTATATACCTCAATCACATTTCCCCTGTGCTCTTTTCCAAGGTGAAAAGTCCCAGTCTTATTAATCTCTCCTCATATGGAAGCCGTTCCATACCCCTAATCATTTTGTTGCCCTTTTCTGAACCTTTTCCAATTCCAATATATCTTTTTTGAGATGGGCAACCACATCTGCACACAGTATTCCACATGTGGGCGTACCATGGATTTATATACAGGCAACATGATATTTAGTGTCCTATTATCTATCCCTTTCTTAATTATTCTCAGCATTCTGTTTGCTTTTTTGACTGCCACTGCACATTGAGTGGATGTTTTCAGAGAACTATCCACAATGACTCCAAGATCTCTTTCTTGTGTGGTAACAGCTAATTTAGACCCCATCATTTTATATGTATAGTTGGGATTATGCTTTCCAATGTGCATTACTTTGCATTTATAAACATTAAATTTAATCTGCCATTTTGTTGCCCAGTCACCTAGTTTTGAAAGATACTTTTGTAGCTCTTTGTAGTCTGCCTGTGTCTTAACTATCTTTAGTAATTTTGTATCATCTGCAAATCTTGCCACCTCACTGTTTACCCCTTTTTCCAGATCATTTATGAATATCTTGAATAGGTCTGGTCGCAGAACAGACCCCTGGGGGACACCACTATTTACCTCTCTCCATTCTGAAAACTCACCATTTATACCTACCCTTGTTTCCTATATTTTAATCAGTTACCAATCCATGAGAGCACCTTCCCCCTTATCCCGCGGCAGCTTACTTTGCGTACGAGCCTTTGGTGAGGGACTTTGTCAAAGGCTTTCTGAAAATCTAAGTACATTATATCCACTGGATCCCCTTGGTCCACATGCTTGTTGACCCCCGCAAAGAATTCTAGTAGATTGGTGAGGCATGATTTCCCTTTACTAAAACTAAAACCTGAGAGCTGTGTTAAGTGTTGGGGGGGCCATGAAGAGTCCCTCCTCTTAGAGACGCCCGGGGGTGGTGTGTAATTGTCCCAGGTCACTGGGTGGGGGCTCAAGATGGTTTTGTGTTGTATTGTTGAAAAGGAACCCCAAGATACTGAACCTGGCCCTTGTTGCTGCTGGCTCCACCTGGCAGAAGGGTTACATATATAGTCTATAAAATGTCCTTCTAGGGCAAAGTCTGCATTAAGATAGATTACATTTGTCTTGATACTGCCATACATCATCATAATGTATAGTAACTGTCATACAGTTAAATTTTTTGAACATTCACAATAAACCATGCCACCATGTGCATAGAGGAATAACTAGAAAAAAAATGCTTGTATGAAATCTGTTTTAATCTTGCAAATGTGTATAAACAATAGGATAAAAAAACTTCTGAGACATCACCCACAGGTTTTCTGAATAATTTTTTTTAAACCTACCTGAGAGACTCTGCCATCCGCCTTAAGTCTTCATTTTGCTGTTTTAAACGTTCAAGCTTTGCAAGTATCTTGGATAGTTCACGGCTGGAGTGATCTGGGTGTTCATTGTCTCGTACCAAGTGTCCGCCTATATAAAATAGCAAGGTCCCCCAGGCAAAGAGGATGAGCATAATCCAACGCCAGGAACCAGTCCATGGCCGCATTTTCAGATGCTCAGTTCACTGCAAAACTGTTTTAGCTCACAAAATAAACATTGTAATTCCTTAGTCTGCACAAAGATGGACAACTTCTGTTCCTCTGTTTCACCACATTATGCTTAAGACAAATTATAATCAGTGTTAGTCCTACAGCAATTCTTTAAGAGAGATCCTTATGATGATATATGTAGAAAGCTTTAGTATCACGTGCTTCTTCGTTTTATATTCTGTAGAAAGAATAAAACAAGTGTAATTAAGTAACGTGATTTATAAATAATGGAATATATTGGACTGCAATTAAAGTAAATATACATTCAAGAAAACTGGCAGATTACATTTCTATCCCTTCATCAACTAAAGAAAGAAAACCTTTTTAAGTTTTCACAGTAAATAAACCGTGTTTATTAGAAATATGCCATGTGATAAAACAATCAGCTCCAGAACTAAAATAACATAAAGCATCATCAGCTCTTCAAAATAATAATGCTCACTAATTTGTCCAATACCATTTCACACATTACAAAAGATTAAGTCATTGGTTTAATCAATAAATCAGAATAGGTATTCTGCAGTAAATTTTGTATTATCTCAAATGGAAACATAAGCATAGCTATTTTTCAATTATACTATTTTTTCATCTTCTATCCTTTCTCATTTTTATGAACTCTCACTACTAGCTATCATTATTGTACTTGCCTTAGTACACAAGAGGTGCGTTGCCATTTTTATAATAGACTCCACTACTGACACGTAGATTGGCCAAGCAGCATCTATATCAGCCAGCACTCCAAAGACTATAAGCAATAATTTATAAAAAACTATCCTCCATATGCATTCATCCTTAACTAGGTCACCTGCACTGGCTTCAAGTATGGAAATGTAAAATTAATCACAAATCTTTATTTCTCATTTAAACTGCAACACAATCCAGCTTCATTATTAGGCCTTCCAATACTACTCACAAATGTTTTCTACAAAGAAACACTGAACTTTCAAAGGGGGGGGGGAAGGGACTTCAAATAAATTAACACCCTATAGTTAAGCACAGAAGGAAACCTTCTGGTTCCAAATAGAAAGAAAAAAAGAAAATCAACTAGTATTTGAATAGTGTGAAGAATGCACAAGTACTTCATGTAATGCTAAAACATATGCAACGATGCATACCCACATATCTCCAAACAAAACCAAGTTTATGAAGCCAGTTCAAATTGTTAAAACTCATGTTTATTTATATACAAGTTATATATAAGAGTTACATATACAACTGTTAAGACCAAATTAAAAGTACTACATTTGACATAAGACTAAAACAATTTTATCCAAAGTGACCTTTTAAAAACATCTCTCACTTAATTTTCTGCTTAGCAAAACACATCACCTCCAGGTTCTAACAATTTCCTTTATCTCGCTGTATCCAGAACTGATATTTTAAAGTACTAATTGATAAGAAAGGCACGCAATCATCTAACCATTTCTTCCTTGTCTGCAAAGAACATTTGTGCAGATTGTCAGGAATCAGTATTTCCTATGCAGTTGGGAATTTTCTTTTTCCCTCCTTTCAAGTCTGCAAATCAACCATCTAAACTAAAACTCTCAAACATTTATCTGACTAATCTCTTTTTTCACCTTCCTTCGATGATGGTCTCCTTGTGGCTCTGCCAACTTCAAGGGAAAAGTCACCATTCTAAGTTGAAAGAAATGTTTTTTCTACCATGTAATAACCTACATACTCATCCAGCAACGAAGGATATGTGGACAGCATTGGTTTCCAGACCCATGTAATTCAAGGTAACATGAAAACTACTAACTGTCACCAAAACCTGACAGACCTTTCTCACCTTTTTTGAGCGTGTGGCACAAAACCTTCATCTTACTACGTTTCAGACAACCAGCAGATGGCAGATCTAGACAAACAGGATTAATAGTTAGTAGTTAACAACTGAGTATCACTTAAGTGAAAAAGGTTTCTAGTAACCCTCTCAGCCTTTCTATTTAAGGGGTCTTTGGTGAGACAAATCAACGTGCAGATCAGTTTTCCTTGAACAAGACAATTTCAGAATCGCGCATTAGGAGCCCATAATTTTCTACACATTTCTAAGGCAGCTTTATATATATGTATATTTTGTTTTGTCATGGCAAAAAAGCAAATTGCATCTGGGGAGACATTTATGCTTCCATAAATCTTTTGGTTGTTCCTCCTGAGGAAGAGTGAATCAATAGGGTCCAGTTTCTGCTCTGGTCCTTCAAACCTCATAGCTGCAAAGACATTACTAAAGCAGTCCTGCAATAGTGTATTAATTATTTTTATTACTGCAGTGACTAGGAGCCCTAGTCATGGATCGTGACCCCATTGTGCTAGGCTCTGTATAAACCCAGAACAAAAAGATGGTCCCTACCCCAAGCAGTTCACAATCCAAGTATAGGACAAGAGACAACAGAGTACAAGGATAGACAGAATATAAAGAAATAATGAGACAATATTGGTCAGCATGCTAGGTAATGGTCTCAATGCACCAGCAGCCTAACCATTGTCAATATCTTTTTTTATAAGTAGTTTCTCCAATTCCCATCACTCTAGAAACTCAAGGATCTTTGTCAGGTAAGCATACATATCATCCACATTAGGAGTAAAGTTCTGAGCTACACAAAGGTGGAAGACCTCATCCAAAGGTGAACATAAAGTGTCACATATGGTGAGGGTGCCATGAGGCCTATCAGATGGAGGAAGAACCTCATTGTCTGACACAGGTTTTCATTTAAGGTAAATAGGCCTTGAGACACATTCAAAAAACTCTCCTATAGAAAAAAAAGACATGAACTGAGTTTGATATAGCGCTAGTAAAATAAATCATCTGAGTGGATACCAGAAGACTTTTCCCCCCAATATAACAGGATGTCCAGAGTTTGAAATGAATTACAAAGTATTTTTGATCAAGTTTTTCAAAGCCTGACAAAAGCATGCTTCAATCAGATGGCCATCTAAATTCATGCATTTAAGAATTAGCTCAGACCATAGATAAGTAGCCACCTGGGGAAAGTATTTGGTGAAGACCCTGGGCACCATATAGAAACAGATGGCATAGAAGATTGTCAATAAATCCACCTCATCCAGGGATTATAAGGACCAGGTAAAGTGAGCTGGATTAAATTCACCCAATGAGCCTAATGAGAAAGTTCCTAGAAGGACCAGAGGGGGACCAGATCTCATATTTACTGTTCTACAAGCTGTCCAGGTAAGTCTCAAAGCTGGAAGACACCAAGGTCAACTGGAACAGTCCCTAGAACCAAGGAAGACTTCCCCTGATCAGATAACCAGCAGCCCTGGCACAATAAGATTTCTTTCCTCCAGAGGACAGTCAAATTGAGTCCAGGGAATCAGTAGCACCAGAAGAGCTTGCAACAACATTGACACCAGGGAAGAAATAGCCTCTCTATCTGCTTAGGAGAGACTGGAGGGCAAGACAGGGTTGCAGATTCGTTTCTTTTTAACACTGGGGAAGACAGAATTGACATCTCTGAAGTCCCTCTGCGCTTCCTGAACCTATGCTTCCATGACTACTTTTTCTAGCTAAAAGAGGAATGGATCATTGGCACAGAAAATGCCTTGAAGACCTAACTGTTCTTGACTTTATGCTTCAGGGCAGAGAAGTGTGGAACCCAGGCCTACTAGAAATGTTGACTTGACTGCACCACTATTTCTGATGGAGGTACAACATCCCAGTTAGAAGAAGGGGTTCATCAAACCCTTAGAACCAGAACCACTCGAGGGACTGAAAAGCTGACAATGTTGTTAGCAACAATTTCAGAAGCCCTAGCTAACTTAAGTGGAGGTGGCATAAACCAGTTAGTGCTGAAACCATAGCATCAACAGTCCCAGATAGATCCCTTGCAGCAGATACACAGGATGGTACTATTCCCAGCATTGTATCAGTGGGGTAGCCGTGTTAATCTGGATCTGTAAAAAGCAACAGAGAGTCCTGTGGCACCTTTAAGACTAACAGATGTATTGGAGCATAAGCTTTCATGGGTGAAAGCTTATGCTCCAATACGTTAGTCTTTAAGGTGACACAGGACTCTCTGTTGCCTTTTCCCAGCATTGACTCCTTCATTCTGCCTCCAGAGTATTTAGTTGCCTCAGATGAATCTAAGGAGTTGGCTTTCAGTGATTTTTTTTTAAAAAGAAGACCTAGAGTTTGTTCTTTCTGAGCCTGGGGCGTGAAGGAATTGACACAATGGCTGCACAAATAACCCTTGCTTAGCCAGACAAGAAAATAAGCATGCCTTCAGGTTTGTCTTAATTCCTGCCACCATGCCACAGTGCACACCGTGAGAAAAAAAACCGTACTAAATGCAGAAGAAAAGTTTGAAACAACAGTCACAAATAAGCAATGTTAACACTAAAACTACAACTCTATAAAATAAAACTAGATTAGAAAAAAAGTTTTGATCAGAAAAGGTAGTTTTCTGCATCTATAGCTAATTGTGGAAATGAGAGGACACTCTCAGATTTGAATGCCTTTAAGAAAAAAAATCCTTACTAACACCACTTTAGATTTTTCAAACTGAACTTTAAAATCTAGTTTATTTTTCTATTGAACTTGGAAATAGATATGAGGCCAGTCAATTTCAAGCCAAGTTTATTTCAGATGTTCATGTACTACCATAATTCCACAGGGGAACATATATTAATTTTAAAAATACTGCTTCAACTGTAATTTTTTTATTTCAATTAAAACATTTATATTGCTTTTCTGGCCTACATTTGACTTGACAGCAGGCTTTTAAGGTTTCAGTTGGGACTCTAACTTTGCCTCCTTACCTCTACTGCAAACATCCATTGCAAGATGGATTTTCATCATACGATCTCACAACAGAATATATGCACTGATTCAAAATGTTACACAAATGTATTTGATTAGAATACAATTAAAAATATATTGGGAAAACGGACCCCTGAGGCGCTTTCATTAGATGATGAAAACTATCCAATTTACTGTGGAATTTGCTTTATGATCACAGAGGGGAAAAAAGACTATAGTCAGAAACCCAGGGGAAAAGCTAATCTTTAAAGACTCTGATGTCAGAGACAAGGAATGAATTTTTACTGCTACAAGGCAAGATTCAATGAAAACCTTAAGGAACACACACTGACAAAGGTTAAGTGATAAGATTTTTTTTTTTTAACTGATGCCTCAGTGGTATCTCCTGCAAAATGGAGAGTACCATATCCAGACAAGGATACACTCAAGATCCTTAAGATTTAAAACAATATAAAAAACCAATTATGCAATAACAGATGACACAGATGAAAAAGTCAGTGGATAAGAACTATTTTCAGAAGTTCTGAATTAAATCGGACATGTCTGATTATCAGATCCATATATCAGTACTCTCTGGGAACTGATTCTTTCAAAATGCTCTTAGAGACAGTGTTTTTCTTCTCATCATAGCTGGTGAGCATCTTTAGAGAGCATTTATGCGATACAATATGTTTATTCTTAACAGTATTGTAACATCACTGTATGCCAGCTAGACAGTAGTAGTGTAATCGATGAAGCAATGTCTGCCTGAGTTTGCAGTGCACCTGAGACAATTACTTTGAGGTGTGAATTGCCCCATTCATTTCAGTAGGTACTAACTCTGATGCCAATGATGACAATTAACAACGTTGACATTTAAGTACTTCACTAATAGTTTATTCTATTACTTCTAGTTACATCCCTTAGGCATTGTCTACACTACCGTGGTAAGTCGACCTAAGTTATGCTACTCCAGCTACGTGACTAACGTAGCTGGAGTCAACATAGTTTAGGTCAATTTACTGCGATGGGAGACACTCTCCCATCGACTTACCTTAATCTTCTCATTCCAGTGGAGTACTCTGCAGTCGATTTAGCAGGTCTTCACTAGACCTGCTAAATCGACCCCCTGCTGCATCGATAGCAGCAGTGTCAATCCCCAGTAAGTGTAGACATGGCCTTAGACAGCCCTAATTCTTATCCATTCTTAGTATTTATAAAAACCAAATTCTTCTAAATACCTGAAACACCTATGGTGAAATCTTTGCCCCACTGGAATCAATAGGAGTTTTGCCACTGACTTTAATGGAGTCTGGATTTCATGCTATGCCTATCACCTAGTTACTGGAGTGCAAGAGAGAGAACAACAGTTAATGATACAATATATCTATAAGAACATTGACCGTATCTTAATTTTAATGAGAAGGTTTATTAAACCAAGTTCTAAAATCTTCATTCAAAGTGCTGAAGTAAACACCAAATTCTTTCGTGGTTTAAATCAAATCCACCCTGCAATAAACTACAGAATTTTAACATTTTATTTTCAAATTAACAGAGATGGTCTGGGTAGAAGCCCCTATATATTAAGTCGAGAATGTAATTTTTACAGTAAAATAAAGAAAACTTTAAATGAAACCCTAAACTGATTGAAAATGCTAGATAAAGAACACAAATTTAGAACTGCAGCTTCTACAACATAAGAAATAATTCATATCCAAACCCAAAGTATGTTTCTACAATGAAAAAAAATGTTTACTGCTAACCTTCCCCCAACCTTTGTGTTTCTCCTGGCAGCACTTCCAATAGGAATAGTTAGATATTTAAGTCCTAATCCAAAGCCCTTTGAAATTAAAGGGAGTGTTTCATGAACTTCAATGGACTTTGGGCCCCTAATTTGAGAAATATCTCAGTAGATAGGGTTTATCTACACTTACAGTACTGCAGTGGCATTGCTGCTCCAGTGCTGTTGTGCCACTATAGCACTTAGTGAAGACGCTACCTATACCAGTGGGAGCCGCTACCTATGCTGATGGGAGACATAGTGGCAGCTATGTCGACAGGAGTAGCCCTCCCATTGACATAGCACTGTCTGCAGCAGGGGTTAG